ACCCCCTGAGTGCAGCGCTGTAAAGCACCAGTGTAATCAGCGCTGCAAGCTAGTCCCCTCGGAGAGGTGGAGTACTTGCAGCGCTGTGAATCCGCGAGTGTAGCCAAGGCCCGAGGGGACTAGCTTGCAGCGCTGCGAGAGAGCGTGTAGCGCTGCAGGCGCTGATTACGCTGGTGCTTTACAGCGCTGCACTCGGTGGTGGGGGGGGTTCACACCCCTGAGCGCAGCAAGTGCCGCGCTGTGAATTGCCAGTGTAGCCAAGGCCTTAGTGGGGAACCCAGAGCCATGGCTCCTGTTGCCCAGATCCTCCATCGAGCCATCTACCCCACCCAGGTTCAAGCGGAGAGGGAAATACGGGTACCGGGAACTGCTGAGGCAGAGGGGAGAGCAGCAGGCAACGCAGCCGGGAGTTGGCCGTGTGACACAGAAGCCCCAAAAAGGCCAGCAGGGCTAGGGCCAGGGCTGCCTGTGGCTGCAATACTCGTGACAGCTCAGCTGGTATCCTGTGCTTGGCTAGCGGCCCCCCGCTATCACAAAGGGACACGCTGGCGAGCGCTGGGCAGGGAGCCGCCCGCTGCATCCTGGGCTGGACAGATTGCTGGGGGAAAGCGTAGAGACTAAAACAACCTGGCTGGGCTATGGGACACGGAGGGAGCCGGAGCGTTGCTGGGCCTTGTAGCTGTCTCAGGGTGTGAGCACCTGCTGGTGACAGTCACTTGGCCGGGGCTAAAGGGCTGCCAGAGATGAGGTGGGGAAGGAAAGCCAGCGCCGGCAGGGCACTGAGTGGGGTTTGCTTCGGGCTCTAGTCTCTGCTCCCACGCCAGGGCCCATGCTGGAATAATTCAGTCGGGGAGCAGGGTTTTGCTGCGCGTACTTTAGAGGGGGGATAGAGAATGTCGGCAACGTACATGCGCGGTGGGGTGCAGATGGGGTTATGGGAAGTAGTTTGCGGGGGTGCCTGCTTCATGTCATCCCTGCAGGGCAGCATTGCTGGGGTTCAGGGGCAGGTGTGCCCAGCTCTGCCCCTTGGCTGCCAGAAGGGCGGGGCTGGCGGAGGCTGTGTAGCTGTCAGCTACGGCGAGGGGGTGTTTATGGAGCAAATCCTCACACAGGCTCCTGCGAAATCCCCCTGGGCCTGAGGCCAGGCCCTGCTGCGGGGTAGCAGCCCCGGCCAAAGCACTGCAGGGGCAGGTGCTACTTACTGGGGGGAGCCAAGCCCATCTCCCCAGAACCCCACCCCTTCCTGACTAGAGCCTCGCGCAGGGGGGCTGAGAGCCACTGAACCAAACCATAAACCTTGGATATGATGGAAACCGCTTCAAGCCAGGGGGTGTTGCAGCCCGCCCCCTCCCCCCCCCCCCCGGCAGCCCGGCTTCCAGCACCTACAGCCATGGGCACCATGGGAGGGCTGGGCTGGGCTAGGGGGCTGCCACTGTGCCAGGGCAGCAGGACAGAGCATGAAACCAGGAGCCTAATTATGGTTCCACTGCAGCCAGCATGGCTTGGGCTGCCCCACCCCCCAACACCCTGCCAGCCGCGGGCTGGACATTCACTCCTTATCGGTTCACACAGGTGTCCCATCTACTCGTCGGGCTGGTGGCTGGGGGACATGACACACTGGTGCTAAGTGGAGCACCCCTCCCCCTGTGCAGAATGAGTCTGGTATGGGCCGCTCGAGCCGGGGCTGGGTTGGATCTTACAGCAATCCTGTGGTGTGTGTGCGCACAGAAGCATGTGGCTGGGGGGAGGTGTGTGCATGCCCATGTGTGGGTGCGCTGTGTGGTAGGAGATAAGTGTACATGTACAGGGATGGGGGGGGGTCATTGCAGGGGTGTCCAGGCATGTGTGTGTGCACACGTGTGCTCCAGGCAGGTGTGTGCATGTCAAGGTGGGCATGTGCACAGTGAAATACATGGTGGTGGGGGTGTAAGGAGGGGGGAGGTGCGGCATGTGCCGGGGAGACACATGCAATGCAGGGCGCTGGCTCTCGCCCTGGGAAGGGTTTGGCTCAGACATGCTCTGGACAGGTCTGGGCTAAGCAAGCAGGCCGAGCGTTGACCAAACACGACTTTAAGCAGGACGTGGCACGGTGGCGACAGGGCAGGTGCTGTTTGCTGACGTTAGCTGGTTGCGGGTAACCAGGGGCAGGGCTGGGCCATTGCAGAGCTGTTTTCCCAGGCATACCCTCCGCCCCTGGAGGAGCCCGGACTCGGGCGTTTCTCAGGGGATTTCCCCTGTCTCTCCACCCAATCTGCTCCAGCCAATGCAGCGCAATTGGCACCATTGGCCGGGCACGCCCTGTCCCCCTTCACTGACTGCATGCAACAGTGGGCAAACTGACAGAAAGCACCTGAAATGTTCACCCAGGCCACCATCTGGGGTGGGGTGGGGTGGACATGACGGGAAGGAAGCGTCTGGCTGCTATGCCAGGCGTTGGGAGAAAGTAAAACATAGGGCCTGGCACTACCACTGAGGCTTTGAAAATGGCTTATAAATGGGGGCACGTGTAACACAGGGGCAAACCGCAGTCAGGCTGGATCATGACGTGCCCAGTGTCACCCAGCGAGTCAATCGTAGAGTCAGGCCTGGAACCAGGAACCCACCATGTTAGGCAGGCAGCTCCCGCAGCACGTTTGGAGGCGTAAGGAAGTAGGAGCTTGGATGTTAATCCTGTGAGGGGCAGGAGCACGGGCCAGGAGTTGCATGGCCCAGGGCAGCCTCTGTGACCAGCCCAGTCTGTGCCTCAGTTTCCCCTTTGCACTGGGGTAACACAGCACTCACAGCACAGCTGGTTCAAACCATTGCCCGTCACAGGTGCGCCTGGCTCCCCCGCACAGGCTTGTGGGTGTTGTGCTTGCGCTACAAGGCACATCAGTCCTAGTGTGGTGACAGCCCCTGTCATAACAGCATGGCTGCTCGTCCAAGTATGGCAGGCACTAGCTGCTACACCCCAGGGACGGCCCAAGGGACGATGAGCCCCATGCCGCTCCTGCTTCTCCAGGCCCTGCCTCGGGCAGCCACCTACCCCAGTGCTAAGGGACTGTGGGGCTATTATGCCCACAGGCCAGAGAAACTCTCAGCATGCACAATGTCCCGGGGCTGCCTGTCCAGCCGGGCAAAGGGCCCTGGCGATGGGCCTGCATCTCTTCCCCTTGGCAGGGGACACAGATGGCCTGTGTCCCAGGAACCAATGCAGAGGGGTGAGCTGGGAGCGTGGCACCGGGCCATGCCAGCAGAGCACCGCTCTACAGGTAGCACCGAGGGGTTCTGTGTGGCCCAAAGCTAGGTGGTTCTGGGGATGCGGTGCCCTTGGTCGCTAGCGGGACGTCTACATTGCAACAAAACCCACCCGGCAGCGGTGCCGCTGAGCGCTTGGCTCTGCAGCTGGGCTCACGCCAGGGCACTAAAGCTGGCAGGGTAGCTGTGCCCAAGCGAGGTGGCACTCGGGCTCTGCACCCCACGGCGAGGGGTGGGCTCCAGAGGGAGCGGGAGCATCTATGCTATTATTGGTGGCCTAATACGAGCCCCAGGCTGGGCTCTGAGACCCGCCGTGGTGTTGATTTCCCCTCAGTGGCTGGGTCCCATCCAGAGCCCGGCTCCACCTGTGGGTTTTACTTCCCATGGCCTCAGCCTGGACCAGCAGCGACTGGGCCCCTTGCTGGGGTCCCAGCATGGCCGTGGTCATGACAACCTAGCCAGCCCAAGCGACTCACCCTGCCACTGCCCGGCCTCTATGAGCCGGCCCCAGCACCAACACAAACCACGCGCCAGGCCGCCCACTGTTCCCAGACGTTTTATTACGTAAACATGCTAAAAGAGCCAGTCCTCGCAGCAGCTGTGTCCGCCCTGCGGGCCGCATCGTCCCCCCAGCGCTACGGCCAGGGGACGGTGCGGCCTGGCCCCTCCAATCGCGCACAGCTGCACAGCGCTCCCTGGTGCTCGGGCTGCAGCTCCTGGCGGGCTGGGGGTGGAGGCGGGTTGAATCCAATGCTGGGGAATACCGAGGCCTTACAGTGCTGGGGGGCTGTGCCAGCAGCAGGAGGCACAGCAGTGGGACGGTGTCAGCCCAACGCTTGAGAGGGGCACGGGTGGAGGGGGACAGGCAGCTGAGACGCTGCATGGACTGGGGCCCTGGAAGGGGGGGAGGGGAGCACCTAGGACTCCTGCCTAAGCTGGGGGGGACTCAGTGCCTCTCTTAATTGGGGGGGATGGGGTGCAGTGCCATGGGCTCCCAGTGCCTGGAGCTCCCCTCTGCTAGCCCCACTGGGGAATGCCACCCCCTCCAGCTCTGGCTCACTTGTTCCTTTCTCCCTGTCCAGCCCTCATCTCCGACCCACCAACCCCCTCACTCCGGCTGCCTTCTGCTACCTCCTCCTGCTCACAGCTGTGCCCTGCTCCCCAATCCCTAGCACCCCTGTGCCCTCCCCCTCCCCACACCTTGGCACCCAGCCATGCTCATTGCGCTCAGGAGTCTCCATTGTTCCCAGTGGGGGACAGGGGTCTCCACTGTTCCCAGTCGGGGGGGGATCCCCATTGTTCCCAGTGGGGGAGGGGAAGGGAGTTCCCATTGTTCCCAGTAGAGGGGTATCCCCATTGTTCTAATTGGGGGACAGGAGGTCTCCATCATTCACAGTGGGGGGATGGGGATCTCCATTGTTCCCAGTCGCGGGGGGGGAGCCCCCCATTGTTCTCAATGGGGGACAGGGGTCTCCACTGTTCCCAGTCGGGGGGGGGATCCCCATTGTTCCCAGTGGGGGAGGGAAAGAGAGTTCCCATTGTTCCCAGTAGGGGGGTATCCCCATTGTTCTAATTGGGGGGACAGGAGCTCTCCATCATTCACAGTGGGGGGATGGGGATCTCCATTATTCCCAGTCGCGGGGGGGAGCCCCCCCATTGTTCTCAATGGGGGACAGAGGTCTCCACTGTTCCCAGTTTGGGGGGGGAGTCCCCATTGTTCTCTGTGTGGGAAGGGATCCCCACTGTGCCCCAATGGGGGAGGGCATTTCCACTCGGGGGGAGTCCCCCTTGTTCGCAGTGGGGAGGGTTCTCCAAGGAGCCGGTGTGAACACACCGTGTGCTCGCTACGTGGGGCTCAGAGCAGGAGCTCCCCACCTGGCCAAAGCAGATCAAAGCCTGGCTCCTGCTCCCCAGCAGGGCCTGGACATTCCCCCACCCCCACCCCACAGTCACCTCTGTCCACGGCTCCAGGCAACACCAGCCCAGGGGAGGGGTCACCAGCTGCCTCCGGCCCCCATGTTCTCTAAGAAAATCCTGGAGGGAAAGGTGACCTTGCCCCTCTCCTGGCCCCAGACCCCCTCCCCTGCCTGGCCCTGGGGGAGCCTAGACATTTGGTGGGGCCTGCCCTGTTTATCTGCAATTCAGGCCTGGTCCCACGGGACTGGGGGGCATCCTGCAGCACACACACCCCACCTAGGGCCCTTCCCCCTCCTGGCCTGGCCATAGGCCCTGTCCTCCACCCACTAGCCCTGCCTGCCCCTCGTGGTCCTGGGTCTACTCAGCTCTGATCCCCCGCATCTGGCTTTATGGCCCTTCCCCTCCCCCTGCATGGCTCTGGGCCACTTCCCGACCCTCTCCTTGGCTCTGTACCCCCACCCCCCATCTGGTCCTGGGCCTCTGGCTGTCCCAGTCAGGGTCCCTGGTGGGAGTGGGTGGCCCCATGGCCTGGGGTTGATGGGAAGCTGCTCAGGATGGGGGTGTAGGGGAGCTAAGGGGCAGCCCCCCCCTTAGGTCAGGGTGGGGTGGCTCAGGGGTGTCCACTCAGGATGGGGGGTGCTCAAGAGCAGAACCCCTCATGCCAGGAGTTGGTTTAGCCAGGGCTAATGGGCAGTTATGTCCGACTGGCTCTGAATTCCAGCCCAGGACTCTCCCAGGGCTGCCCCTACCCTGGCCCGAGGCCCCCAGGAGGCACTGTCCAGCCTGGGGCCCGTGGCCCCTTCATGGCTTTCTGAGGATGGCACCAGGAGCCTGCCGTGCCGACATCATGGCTATAAGAAGAGGACGCCCCGCTTTCCCAGGCAGGAGCTCGGCATGTGGGTGCAGCTGGGTCTGGGGAGCCCCTCGTCCCCCGAAACCAGGTACATAGAACGTGCAAAATACCAACAGCCCAAGCTGGGCTGGGCAGGGCAGGAGCGAGCAAACACGGGGCGAACCGGGCTGTGCTGGCAGAGGGGGGATGGGGGACGGGGTGGCAGAGCTGCTCAGGGGCTGGGGTCCTTTTTCCGTTTCTGGAAGCGACGGAACTTGCCCTGGATGGCAAGCGCTGCCTTCTCAGTCTCGGGCGCGTTCAGGTCGATGTCTATCTCCTCCTCCTCCTCCTCCACCTTCTTGGTGTTCCCGGCTTTGGCTGCAGGGAGAACCAGCTGGCAGTCACCCCTGCGGCTCCACGGGGGCCCACTCCGCTCCGGGCAGCAGGGGGCACTGGCCTGCAACTCCTGCCGGGGCACTGGCCTGCAACTCCTGCCAACATCCAGCCCCCCACAGGACCAGCCCCCCCACTGCCCAGGGTCCCCCAAAACTCTGGGTGCAGTACGCAGTCCCCCACCCCACTCCACTCCCATGGGCTTTGCCTCCCCTATCCACGTCCTTGATCTTGCTCAGTTAGTGCTGATGAGTGCCAAATAATACACAGCGGGAAAGTTGATGTATACACTAGTGGGGTCTAAATTAGCTACTTCCACCCCCGCAGGAGGTCTTGGCGTCCCCTCGGACAGTTCTCTGGAAACATCCACTCCCCGGGCATCAGCGCTCCCGTGGCTAAGGTAGGTGGGGACCTACCGCCACCAGGCTGCTCCCAGGAGGTTAGAGCGGCAGTGTGGGCCAGGTGATAGCTTTTCTTGCACCCACTTCTGCTGGCGAAAGAGACAAGCTGCCAGCTCCACAGAGCTCTTCTTCAGGGCTGGGAAAGGTCCTCAGAGCTCGGCCTTCCTCTCTCCCCAGCAGCAGTGGGTCTAACAACAGATATTACCTCAGCCCCCTTGTCTCTCTAGAAATATCAGAACACCACTACAGCAATCCCGGGGGTCCCCACACTTGAATAGTGGGTCCAGTTCCAGTCATCTCAACAAGGAAATGGTGCAACTGGGAAAGGTTCAGAGAAGGGCAGCAAAGGTGATCAAGGGTCTGGAACGGCTTCCAGCCGAGGAGAGATGACAAAGATTAGCACTGTTCAGCTCAGTAAAGACACGACTAAGGGGGACCTGATAGAGTCTAGAAAATCATGACTGGTGTCTAGGGAAATGTTATTTTACCCCTTCACACAATGAGCAGACACAAGGTTTAATACAAACAAGAGGAACAACGCACAACTAACGTGTGGAACTCATTGCCAGGGGATGTAGTGACAGCCAAAAGTATAGCTGGACTTGCAAAAGAACTGGCTAAGTTCCTAGAGGATAGGTCCATCAGCAGCTATAAGCCAAGACAGTCAGGGACACATCCCTGTGCCTGAGGCGACCCAAACCCCTGACTGGCAGAAGGGGAAGACAGGGTGGATCTCTCAGTAATTGCCCTATTCTGTCCACATCCCCTGAAGCTCTGGCTGGCCACGGGTACAGACAGGCTACTGGGCTAGATGGAGCACGGTGTGACCTACGGTCGCTGTTCTCATTGTCCCCCAGGAGAGGCACTCCAGTCCCCCAACCCAACCTTCTCCGGCAGCTGCCTGTGCCGAGGGCATGGGCAGTGTCCCCCTCCCTGGCTCCTGGATGGGTAGGGGGGAGGCCCAGTGGGGACCCAGGACACAGCCATGCCCCAGCAGCCCGGGATGGTGGGGCATGCAGGCCAGGTGGAGGGACGCTGGGGGCAGCTCCCCATGGTGTGTGGGGGAGGGCATGCTGCAGGCTGGCACAGACAGGAGAGCGAGTGCGAACATGGCAGCTACAGGCCCCACAGCCCCAGCTTCAGGGGCCATGCGCTCGTCCTAGCGATTTCCCTGCGGAGCACTGAGGGCCCGGGTCAGGCTCTGGCATTCCACATTCCCGACTATTGCCGAGCACTTAATGAGGCAAAGCAGGGGCAGGGCAGCAGCCAGGAGAGAGGGTTCTTCCCCGGGGTGAAAGAAAACCAAGGGAGAGCCGGGGCTGTAAGCCCCCACTTCCCACCCTCCTGTGCCTGCCTCCAGTCCAAGCCAGGTGCAGCTGGCGGGGAGACTGCGCCGGTGCCACCCTGCAGAGTGTGTCCACTGGACGGCAAATGGACCCAACGCTTCCATGGCAGGCGCATGGAGTCAGGGGGAGGGGATGCCTCTGCCCCTTCGCCCCATGGACGGATCTGCTAGGCACGGGCAGCCAGGCACGTTCGCTGCTGAGCCCTCATGCCATCAGTACAGACGCCAGGGGGGAGGTGGGTGCCCGGGGCAGGAGCTGGGGGAGCGGGGGAAGAGCGCGGTTAGACAGGTGCCCGGGGCGGGTGCCTGGGGCAGGAGCCCGGGGGGGGGGCAGTTAGGTAGGTGCCCGGGGCAGGAGCCGGCGGGGCGGGTAGGGGGAAGCGGGTGCCCGGGGCAGGAGGCCGGGGGGGGGGGGGGGGCGGAAGCACGGTTAGACGAGTGCCCGGGGCAGCAGCCTGTAGCATTGCCTGTGGAGAGCTAACAGCATCGTTGCAGCTACATTCCCCTCCCCACAGGCTGCCTTCCGCGACCTGGCCTACGTGGGGTGGGGCAGCCTGAAGGCAGCTCCTGCCCTGCAGGGAGCCCTCTGGGGGGCATGCTGGGGGGTTGCAGACATGGCTGATGCCCAAGCGCTGGCATGTTGACAGGGAGCTCTGTGCTGGGCGATGGAGCCCACCCCATGTCACCGCAGCTATGTCTGCGCTGGGAATACTGGGAGCCAGCTCCATGGGTGGCAGTGGCCTGGCTGGCTTAGACAAGACAGCAGTAAGACCGGCTGATCCCAGTCCCGCTGCCGCACCGTGGGGAGCTGCTCGCTGGCCCCCTGAGGACACAGGCTGGGGAAGCCAGGGGCAGCTCTGTCTTCTCCAAGGGAACAGGAGTCCCTGCAGCACTACACTGGGAATTGCCGTCCTCTTTCAATCCAGCTTTGCCCCAGGCCAATCAGAGGAGAGTCCTGGGGTGTTTGGGGGGGGCAGGGTGTCCCTCTTTCTGATGTATTGGATCTCTGGAAACACCCCACTGGGGCACAGGGCTTGAGGGATGGGAGTAGCCAGAGGAGCTGAAAGCCTGTGGGGTCGGTGCAGTTTGGCTGCATGTGCCGTGGTGCGGGGACGTAGCATCCAGTGGTAACATTGCAGGCCAAGCTGTGCCAAGGGACACTGCGGCACGGGAATGAGGGCAGGGCAGGTGACTCCTGCATGGCGCTGGACAGGTTCAAGTTGTTGCTCTGGGAATTTCCTTACTCTTGGAGAAAGCGTTTGTCAGAGCCCTGCCCAGGGGGAAGCCACAGATTGTTATGTCCGCTTATGGGGCTCTGTGCCAGGGCAGAGTCCTACCAGCGAGTTTCTAGACCCTGCCAAGGCCTACGCTTTACAAGGACGGGGCATCATCTCACCCCCAAGGGAGGTTAACTTCTGCCCAATGCTTCTCCGCACCCAGGTGACCGCAGGGCTGACGGGTTTCAAAGGCCTGACCTCGAACAGCTGCTCCCCTGTAATGAAACTGGTTCTGTCTCCAGCTAGATGCCCTGGGCCAACCCCCGACATAGACACGCTGGCGTACAGCCGTCGAGGTGATGCCCAGCCATGGTGCCAGCGACACGGACTCAGGAATGGGAGAGGGCTCATAGGCACTAGCACTGGATGGAAGTTGTTCATACACCTCCCCCAGGCCTGTGCACAGCGGCAAACTCTCCACCAGCCCCCTTCCCCCCCATTCTCTCCCCCCCCCCCCGTGAGCCACAGCAGTGCAGCCTCTTCACTCACCTTTCTCCTCACGGCTGGGAGCCTGGCTGGGGGCTGGGGACTCATTGGAGCTGAGCTGCAAGAGGAGAGAAGGCGCCTATTAGCACACGCTGTGCACAGCCAGGCTCTCTGGCACCCTGGCATTACCCGCCCCTGCACACAGCTGCCATGGCTGCCAGCCAGCGGCACACACCAGGGGGTTTGGGGTAACAGCTGCTGGAGAGGGGGGAGTGGATCATGCAGCCAGCAGAGGGGACCGTGGATCACAGCCTGTGGGGGCCACCCCAGTCTGTGTTTTCTAATCAGAGCCTGAGAGCTCCCTGCCTCTGCTGTAATTATCCTCTAGCAGTCCTGGTTGTGGAGGGCTTCACCCGCAGTGTGCCTGGAGGACTCAGGCAGCTTGGCCAAGCAGCAGAGCCTGCACACACACAGCAGCTGGATGCACTGTGCATCCATCCTGCAGCTGAGACGCAAACTGGAACCTGCCCCATCAGCTCCCCATACGCAGCTGCTCAAATAGCAGGACCAATAGGCAGCTTCCTCCAGGCCAGGCAGGTAGTGGGGAGATGGTCCCAGCCGGGAGCGCCCCCTGGCTGTGCCAGTAGGGGGCGCACTGAGCCAGTCCCAGCCGGGAGCGCCCCCTGGCTGTGCCAGTAGGGGGCGCACTGAGCTCATCCGAGCTAGGCACACTCCCTAGCTATGCTGGTAGGGGGCACACAGAGTCAGTCACTTCCCCATGAAGCGAGGGGCCCAGCATTCCCCAGTAACCTGCAGTTCTCTTTCCACCAACCTGCCTCAGCCCAGAAGGGATCTGGCCTCCCCAGGCCTCGCCCTCTCTGCTGAGGCAGCCAGCTGTGAAGGTGGGAATGGGACGGGGCTCTGCCGCAGCTGGGCTCCTCAGGCCCCAAAATGAGATAAACCAGGGGGTTTTGAATGAAGATACAGCCCCCTTTGGACATCTCCGACGTAGTCTGTGGACCACAGGTTGAAAGCCACTGCACCAGAACAACGGAACAGACTGCCTGGGGAGGTCATGGAAACTCCTTCACTGGAGGTTTTCAAAAGGTGGCTGGAGCCATCTGTCTTAGGTGGTCTGCAGACCCTGGGGGACCGCAGACTATGCCAGGGATTTCTAAAGGGGGCCACATCTCCATTCAAAATATTTTAGGGGTCTGCAAATGAAAAAAAGGTTGAAAACCACTGCACTGTGTCCTTACCATTAGGAAGTTTTTCCTGAGATTTCATCTAAATCTGCTGTGCTGTAGTTTTAACCCATTGCCTCTTGTCCTGCCCCCCGCAGCAGGAGAACAACTTTTTTCCATCTTTTTTATGGCAGCCTTTCAAGTATTTGAAGACAGCTATCATGTTTCCCCATAATCTCCTTTTCCAAACTAAACATACCCAGTTCCTTCAGCCTGTGCTCAGATGGTTTGCATTCCATCCCTCTGATCATCTTTGTCACTTGCCTCTGGATCCTTTCCAGTTTCTCTACATTGGTGACCAAAGCTGGATCCACTACTCCAGCTGAGGCCTAACCAGCGCTGAGTAGAGCAGTTCTATCACTTCCCGTGGCTTGCATGCTATGCTTCTGTTAATGCAACATAAAATTGCATTTGATTTTTTTGCAACAGTTTTGCATTGCTGACCCCTGTGGAGTTTGTGATCCACCACAACTCCCAGATCCTTCTCAGCAGTGCTGCTGCCAAGCCAGGTATCCCCCCAGGCCAGATTTGTGCATTTGCTTTTTCTTCCCTAAGCACAACACCTTACATTTGTCTTTGTTTAATTTCAGTCTGTTGTCTATAGCCCAGATCTCCAATTTATCAAGATCCCTCTGCATTTTAGCTCTAGCCTCCTAAGGCCTTGGCTACACTTACCCGGTAGTTCGGCGGCGAGCGATCGAACTTCTGGGTTCGACTTATCGCGTCTAGTCTGGACGCGATAAGTCGAACCCGGAAGTGCTCGCCGTCGACTGTGGTACTCCAGCTCGGCGAGAGGAGTACCGCGGAGTCGACGGGGGAGCCTGCCTGCCGCGTGTGGACCAAGGTAAGTTCGAACTAAGGTACTTCGAACTTCAGCTACATTATTCACGTAGCTGAAGTTGCGTACCTTAGTTCGAATTAGGGGGGTAGTGTAGACCTGGCCTAAGTGTTTGCCACCCCTGCCAGCTTTGTCTCAGCTTTGATCCGTGTGCTCTCAATTCCTACAACCAGGTCATTAATACAGATGTTAAACACCAGACCCAGAACAGATCCCCGTGGAACCCCACTTGAGAGCTCCCTCCAATCTGACACCATTCCAGTAATAGCTGCGCTTTGTTTGCAGTCATTTAACCAATTACGTATCCACTTAATGGTCGTTCCGCCAAGCCCGCATTTCTCCAGTCATGTGGGACCGTGTCACCAGCCTTGCTGAAGTCCAGGTATATTACTCCCACCGCGTTCCCCCATCCACCCTGTGTGGAAAGCTCTGGGGTGGGGGGTGGCCCCACTGCTTAGAGCCACCCTGCCCCCTGTTTGCCATTCACAAACACAGCTTCCCTAGGGGTAAATAACACCAGTGACAGAGACAGAAAGAGTGGATGGTCCCATGCACCTCAGTGGGGGGCTCCCTCCCCACCCCCACAGGAGGCTCTGGCTGAGGCCAGAGGCAGGAGCACAGTGGTCCCCAGCTAGCCACCCTGGGGCCTAGGTGGGGGCCTATATGGCAGCCCCTCCCCCTCTGACACCAAATGGGGCCATGGACCTGGACACTGGGATCCCGAGTGTCTGGAGCAGAGGGACAGAGACAGGTGGGGCGTGAGCAGACAGAGCCCCAGGGGGCTGTCAGAGAGAGAGGAGACCAAATCGGCAGGGACATGATCCACAACCATGCCCAAGAGCAGCAGTAGCCTGGAGCTGTGGGACTCCCCTGGGGGTTCCCCCCCCCCCCCATCTGCTTGAGACCTGGGCTCCCGCCCTGCCCCGCATCAGACACAGGCTCCTCCTGCAGGGACCCCAAGCTGCTTGCTCTGTGGGAACCAGCCTGGTCGCTGCCCTTCTCCCAGGACCTGATGCTGCAGTGCCCCCCCCCCCCCAGCACAGCCCCGCTCCCCAGGACAGGATGCTGCAGCCTGGGCCTCTCCCCTCCCATCTGGCAGGATGCTGTGTGGCTACAGCAGCTGGTTGTTTAGTGCTCCCTTGGGGGGGGGGGGGGGCGGTTGTGATAAATGAAGCCGTTAACTCCCACTGTGCAAATGCCAGCAGCACTGTGGAGGCAGAGCCAGAACACAGCCCTGAGCGCAGCCCACAGGGTCAGGGTGGGGGGAACCGCCTCTGGGGCAGGGGCAGGCTGTCTCTAAGGCTCCTGGCTGGGCACCGCTCCCTGTATAATCTCCTGAGGTGGTGGAGCTGCAGCTCATCCCCCCGCACTAATGGCTGGGGCAGGATCTGTCCTTCCACCCTGCCCCTCCCTTGTGGCTGACAGTGCTGCCCTGTCATGTGCAGGACCAGGGCTGGAGGGGTGGGAGGTGAAACAAGGACGGGGATTAGCTGGAGCCCTGGCATGCGGCCCAAGGGGAACCCTGGGGCTATGGGCGAGACTGGGGTACCCTCTCCCCCACTGCTCTGCCTCTGACTGGAGCCCAGTGCTGGGGCACTGCGTGCAGGGCCAGACCCCGCCTCCCCTCCCCCGCTCCACTCACCAGGCCCATTTCTAATCCCCTTAGCAATCTCACTATTGGCTTTGATCTCGTTAGACACCCGGCTCCCACCTGCCTCCGCGGCTTTGCGCACAGGGTCACGTGGCAGGAGGTCCGTCTCTGTCCGTCTGTCCACCCCCCTCCACCCGGCCTCGCTCCTGGGGGCACTGACATCATAGCAACCCTCTGATTTCTAAGGGTGCTTAAACCTGCCTGTGCACCCCTGGAAGCCTGCCCATCCCCCTTTCATCCCCCCACAGCGGCAGTAGGGTCCCTACATGACCTTCATTGACCCCCAAAGTCTACACTGCTCCCCACAGTGCCCCCTGCAGGGAGGGGCAGGTGCCTCAGCTCATGGGGAAAAAGCAGCAGCAAGTGGCTCCCCTTTGTTTTCAGGGCATATCCTTCCCCCTTCCCAGAAAGGGCTCACGGAGGAGTTTGGTTCCACTCCATTGTGACTCTCCCCGGGGCACAACCTGGCGGCTCCGCGCAGCAACTGGCTTTTTGTTGCCTGTGACGGGCTCCCATTGCTCACACAGCCCCTTGCTGAGATAACTACCAGCCTCTGCACCGCCTGGGGCCCGACCCTGTTGCCTGCCCCACGGCACGGAGCGAGGGACAGCTGCACCCCGCCACTAGGCAGCAAAGGAGCCCTCCCTGCAGGCTGGGCTGCAGTGCATGAACCGCTCCTGGTCCTGCCAAGGGAGCAGGGTGGGGTCAGTGTGGGGCTCCCACCCCTGGCCAGGGGCTCGTGGAGCAGGGCAGCCCCTGATGGGTCCCTACTGGCAGAGACAGCCCTGCCTGGGAAGATGGGGATCCCAGCCATGTTCTGCAGCTGCCTGGGCTAAGGGACCACGCCTGTTAGTGCTAACTGGAGCGCCTCTCACCCCAGAGGGGCCTGAGCACCACAGGGGCATCGTGTGGGGCCATCCAGGTGTCGTGCAGAACTCCCCGACCGAGACCATGCCCCCCCCCACCACACACACAGATCACACTGACTGAGATCAGGGCCCCCTTGGTGCCAGACAGGCCCCCCGACCGAGACATCCCTGACCTAGTGCTGGGTGCCCCATGGCACCATACAGACACCCCACCTGCCAAGATTGGGACCTCTCAGGGCACCAGGCCCTGCACAAAGACCCAGCGAGAGCCAGTCCCTTTGATGAAGAGCTCAGAGGCCAATAGAGGAAACAGACTCAGGGCCATTCCCCACCTGAGACAGAGGGGAAGGCGCTGCCCCAGTTCACACTGAAGCCCATGGTCTCCTCCATGCCTGTGTGGCCCTTTATCCATGGGAGGACACTGCTGGCCAGAGGTGCCCTAGACCAGTGGTCCAGCCATCCCAGTGCCCTCTCAGAGATGGCACCATATGCCACATGCATTGCTATCCCTTGGTG